TAAAGACTATTTGGGAAACTGCGTAATTTCCGAATGCTCAGTGCTTTTGCTTATGCAACTGATACGAAGAGTCCACTGCAATGTGTTTTTTTTTCAGTTTCAATGAGCCTGATTCAGTTCTTTTTTGTACCCATATACAATTCTAAAAAATTAATTCATTGAACGACGACTTGTTTGAACAATTTCTATCGAATTGAGATCATTGATGAGGAGATGATCAATTATCATTTTGCGAGTGTGTTAGCATGATGGTGATAACAACATTTGTGGCTTGATCAGAGGGTTGTGAAGCAGATTTGAACTGATAATGTTCAAGTTGAATTGTCGATTGATCCTGAACTGAGTTTAGTCGTCAAAGAATCGTCGTTGACTTGGTAAATAGATTATTCTCGGTGGTCGAACACCAATTCTTCTCTTCTGTGGTGCTGACTGTTTAAAGTTCTGAAATCTAGTAATTTTATGACAACATTTCAAATATCAATGATAAGTCTAACAATAGCAGGTGATAACAATAATACTGATGAAGTGTGTATTGTGTCTGCTTGAATTGAAACTTCAATTTTTGTCTCTAACAGTAACGTAACGAATATATGCTGTCGTTATGCATGACGATGACACAGTTCAACAAAGCAGTAAAAGACTCACTATTACTGTCATAATTATTATTAGTATGTCAATGTTACTGTTGCTTGTCTATTAGAGTTATTATTGCTATGGTTGTTGTTGTCGTGATATCCGATTGTAAGGTANATGTCAATGTTACTGTTGCTTGTCTATTAGAGTTATTATTGCTATGGTTGTTGTTGTCGTGATATCCGATTGTAAGGTATAACGATCACAAGCATTGTTATCATCATTATAGGAATAAAGGTACAGATGTCGATAATCTTACGGGTTTTATCTTTCGACGACCAAATAATGAATTTATGTTATTTCGAAACTCGCAGTTGATCAACATGGATCAGAGCTGAATGTGTTGATTGGTGCACCACTCACTTGACTATGTCAAAATCGTAATGTTATTTCGAAAGACTGAATTTGCTCGAACAGACAACGATTTTGTTATGCGTATCGTAAACAAATTGAGAGCACCCCTCTCACGCACGCAACACTTAAAGTTCAATCAGGATCTTACCTATGTCCAAGAGATATCTCTTCAAAATTTACAGCTTTTATTTCGTTGTAAGGAATGGTTAAATGATTAGTTAATACCATTATTTATCTGTTTACTAGAAGCGAATACAGCTGAAAATTTGAGTTTTCAGTGCATAGGTGAAGGAAAGAAAAGTCGAAGGAGTTTGAGTGAGAACTGAAAAATTTCTCGTAGCAAAGTGTTTTTTACGATGCTAAATCATTTCGCACTATCAGGAACTTGGCATTTGCTTTTGTGCAAAAATGATTGGAATACATTAAAATTCTTCAGTACCGATGAAATGAAAATTAAAATCGTCTATTTTTATGGGTAGCTAAACATTTGAGATATTCCCCGACCAGAAATTAAATCCCGAAAGGGTTAACCACCCATTTCATATCCAATTAAAATCGACTTCTTTGTGATTGATATAAACGGCATGGTGGAATAAATACAGAAAATTGCTCATATGAAGTTTTTTTTTTGTTCATAAGGTTAAAGTCGATATGAAATTGCGTTTTCAATAGAATATTAGAGCAATTAAAAGCACATGTATTGTCCGGTTGTCATTTTCGAATGCATTGTGGCAATTCAAATAGCATTTTAATGAGAGAATATGTCCAATTTTGTTGATTCATTCAAATTATTCTGTCGATATGAGGACCGCATCTTAGTGGTTAATATGTAAAAATATGCAATTTAATCACCCAAAAATGCATTCAAGAAGCAGTTAAGCACATCAAGAACATTTCATAACTGATTCAATTTCCTTTAGCAATCGAAAATTTGTTCAATCGCCTTCCTGGCTAAAAATTTTCATTATTTATTGCTGAAAATTTCCGTCACTTGCTCAAGTTTGTAATTTTACAAAATTTTAAACTATTGACCAAGTGCTGGGAACTGAATGTGTCACAAAATCAAACTAAATTTCAATGCTACATTTTGAAATGAGTTTTGTCAACCTTTGTGAGAATGATTTTAAACATTCGCGTAAAATCAAATTTTATGAACGATTCAAATGCAAATTTGCCCTTTCATTAGAAAAATATTCAATCGCTCGAGGTTTGTGAAGGAGTTAAACGAATGCTCCATTTGATTCATTTGAAAAATCACATCAACATAGAAGATATGTTACGCTCAAAATGAGCAATTTTGATGAGACAAATAAATTGTGACAAGAGATTAATCTCCCAAATTGAGGACAACACAAGCTGATAGACAATTTTCGAATGCATTCATTTTAGTTCGTACCGATTTCATTTGAGAATCTTTAGTCAAAATCCTTCATGAAGTGCAACATGGAAGAAATTCTTCTCTGATTGAATCGATTTCCAGTTTTATTTTAGAAATGAACAGGCATTATTCTATATACATTTTTCAGTTAGAGGCCAAAAGTGAATCAGCTTGATTCGATGAGTACCGACAATAACTGGTTTCATACAACCTCGATGTAGATGTCCACTGAATATCTATTCAGAACAAATTTGCACTTAAACTCAGTTGTTTATGGAATTGTCAGAAAATAGTGCACATTACTGTTGCTTCTAAATTTAGCGCAAAATTCCGTAAAAACTAATGGACTCTAGAATAACTGTGCGGTTAAGGAGAATTGTATACTTGCGAGGCCAACAATGAGTGAAGATGTCAACGATGAAAATGAGCATTTTGCATCAGTTTTTGAAATAACGATTCGGTGTTTTGCAAGCACCTTCGTATCCTTGCTATTGAAAGACCTCTATCTCAATTCTGTGTGGTTTCGGAAATATCAATGTACTGATGACGAATAAATGTGCCGACAAGAATGGCAGGAATGCCGATCGCATCGAGAGTATAATGGTCAACTATAGTCGAAAACCATCAATTTCATTGCATCACCTAATCGTTCTGTTGATCCGGCTGACGATCAAAACATGCACATGGAAACAGTTGACAACGAGATAAACGAACTAAATTATCCTTAAAAGAACTATGAAATCATCAGCAACAATATTTCTTTTTGTATTGCAATTGATCGATTCACTCATCAATGGTTATTCACCTCCCAATATTGAGAATAACATAATCAACATTAATCATAAATCCTTCATTTGAAAACCTCTGAAATGAATCTTTGGAATGTTCAAAAAACTATTGATGTAATTCGACTTGATTTCAATCTAATATGTGCAATCAGGATTTGTTTTAGAACTTACAGCTGACTAGATGACATAAACTGTTCTAATGCTGAAATCTGATGAAATCTCAAAAACTGAATTACAAGTAAACAACGGAAGAGTGAGTGCTCAAAATCTTTATAATGCTCAAAACTATGCAAGCAATCTTTAAAAACTTGATAATACGTTTTATTTGAACCTGGAACTTTGGTTGAATTTGCACCAATATTAAAATGTTAACGCTTTTCCTACATTCCCTATTTCTGCCTTTTTCTCACAATCAACATGAGCTGGGTGACTTTCAATGACTACAACCAATAATATCAGTTCTATAAATTTGCGCTTTTTTTCGTGAAGTACGTTTGCGATAAAAAAAATACAATATTAATCATCGCTAACCTCAGGATTCAAATAATAGGGTAATCGAAAATCGTAAGCGTTTCGTCTGTCGGCCACTTGCAAACCAAGCGGAATTTCTTCATCGTCCTCTTTCCAGCATCTGACCATAACAATCACGCTGGCTATCAAAACAATTAAGCGAATGTTGAGCTGCATCTGCATGACCCGTTCTTTCTCGTCTTCACACGTCCACTGAAACCATTCCGATAGGTACATCACTCCATTTATCAGCATTCACGCGAGCTCCGTTTGCAAACAAAATGTTCAGCATGAATGCGAGCGACCACATTTCTCAACTTGCGCATATGACATCCACTAATTTAATCGGTCTTCAGGGGAAAGCCATTAGTTTTCACGATTTGTCTTCATATTCATGAAGAGAAATTTTTTGGTGAGGCAGCTGAACGGGAGCACTTCGATGGCTTTCAGTTGAACAACGAGTCTGAAAATCGACTCACTGTCTTCGTTGAGTTTCAAGCCAATGCTG